AAAGAGTATTCTGAAAGATGACTGTACTAGTTAAGTTTTTGTTGACCCAGGAAGACTCCCAGCTGGGGAACTGTCTCTATCCATGGGCACATCTGCGGGGCATTCTCTTGATTGCTAATTGAGGTAGGAATGTCCACTTTACATGTTACCATCCATAGTCAGGTGGGCCAGGACTGTGGAAGAAACGGAGCTGAGCAAGCTAGGGAATCCAGCCAGGGAGCAGCCTTCCTCCATGATGTCTGCTTCAGGCTCCTGCCCTCAGTTCCGGCCTTGGCTTCCTGCAGTGACGTAATGTGACCTGTAAGTCAAATAAACCTTTTTGTCCCCAAGTTAGTTTTGGTCAGTGTTTTATCACAGCAATAGGGAAGCAAACATAGGAAAGTGAATTTCTCACTTGAAGCTGGTTGACTGACCTATCAGAATGGCAATGCTTAGCAGAGTCAGGCCACCTTTTGATATAAATATTCTGCCTCTTTTCAGGTTTTTGAGAGACAGAGTCTCATTCTGTAGCCTAGACTGATCTCCAACTCATGACAATTCTCCTGCCTCAGCCTCCCCTTGACCGTTGGGATTATAGACATGAGCCATTGTGCCTGGCTTCTACAAGGCTTTTAAGTTAGGCACCTTCCTCTCCCTTCCCCTGATCCATTTAGTCACAGAGAATACAAATCGTCATGGTTACTTTAAGAAAAATTCTCATAGGCACTAGCAGTGAGAAATAAACCAGAGTTGTTTGTGGCATGAGATCTTAATGCAATTTTGGAAATGTTATATAGTATTCTCATTTTGGTTGGTTTCGGCTTGATTACATTACAATTCTTTAAAATGAACGACTATGAACACAAACAGATTTGGGCAAAGAAGAAAAGTTCTTCTTAAATATTACTGCCTCAGCAAAACTTTTTGTATGAATGTTTTCCAGAAAAATCAATTTTCTTAATGGAATCCCTAGGAGCATTTCTGAAAACGTGTTGAGAGGGACCAAATCACACCCTGCATTGATTTCTATGTGGTTAGTTTAAGGAGAATTATATATGATATTCTAGAAATGATAGACATAATTAAATGGGTATAAGAACTACAAAAGTTAGGGGAAGAACGTTCTGAATGTGTGTGCCTTGTCCTCAGTGTGTGGCGTCATCAGGGCAGGACAGCCCTTTGATAATAGGGCTGCTGTTTCTCCGTGAGCAGACTTCTTATCCCCACACGTTCAGAGCTTAAGACCTAAGCTGGAGCTTGGATCTGCACAGTTTTCAGGGTTGAGTTGACCAGAATAAAGAGGTAATGAGAAAAGGACAGACATAGATGAATATACAGAAAAGTTAGGATCCTGATCCACCAGCTGCCTGGAAACTCCACCCATTTATTATATTCGCACTGACCAAGGAGATGGGTCTATTACACACATCTGAGTGAAGGGGGTTCAGGTTAGCTAACTTCAACAAGTCTCAGGTTGCAGTCGTCCAGGGGAGTTATAGCCAATAGTTTCAGCAAACACTGGTTTTAGCTAGAAAGCAATCATTCCTAACATCTATGCTTGAACTAGAGGCTTTGCCATTCCTCTGAGTGTGAGCCAGGGAAGGCGTTGGCCATTCTTTTTGGTCTAAGGTACTAGGGAGTCTTTGACTAGGATGGGACCATGTCAACAACACATGCTCACTCAGGACTTCATCTGCTCCCCACTAGTGTGTACGGATGGTACTTGAAGTGACTTTGGAAAGCATAAAGACATGCTCCCACACACCTGCCTATGGTTCCCTGTTAACCCAGCGGCAGTATCTTTCTCCTTTCATCGGCCCCTACCGCCTCTGCATGCTGCCTCCTGCTTCCCATCCTCTCTGTAATTAACTCCACAAAGCAAGTGGCCCCTCCATGTTACCCGTGTCCGAAATTATGTGACCAACGCTTAAATCCCTTTCGGTGAATACTTACCTCTGTGCTATAATCTGAACTTGAAAAAAGTGACACCTTCCAAACTGTGCAATATAAATGAGGTTTTTTTTTTCCCAAGGCTACATTTACACTTGGTGGAATGTGCATTCAGCGTATACTGTATTGAGCTTAGACAACTGTGTGCCCATCTGTGCTGGCAGCTTCTCCAACTACACGGAGTTCCTCCATTGTCCGCAAAGTTCTCTCATGCCCTTTGCCAGACCCTAAATGGAGAATAGCTATTCTAAAGATTGTTTTCGGTCACAAACTAGTTCTGCCTACTTTAGAACCCCATATAAATTGAAGCGTACAGAGCATGCTATTTTTCTCCAGCTTTATTTGAGTTTGGCAGGGCGTTGGTGAGACTCTTCCCTGAAATTCATTCACTACTAATCAGCATTCAGATCTTTGAATATCAGACTCCAGGGCGTTTCTCCATTCACTTATTCTGGTCCAAACCATTGTTGACAGGGATTCTTGTTTCTTGTGCAAGAATTTCTGTGGACAATTGCTTTTATTTCTCTTAGAAATACATTAAAAAGTAAATGTACACAGTCACGGGCTGAGTGCGTTTGGATTTTATAAATGGCCAAACTTTTCCAACAATGGCTTACCGGATGCTAGATTTCTCCTTCCGGAACTAAAACATGAACTCCCTCATCGGCTGAAAACATGGGAAATAAACAACTCCTAACTAAACTCCTCTCTGGGGTGTGTCTCAGGTGCAAAAAGTCATTTGACACAGGGTAACTCCCAGGAGTAGATCGAAAACTGTCAGGCAAGTGAGGACCATGAACGCAAATGCAGAAGGTGTAGCTCTGGGCCTGAAATGGTGTACATCTTCTTTCCATCTGCTGCCCACATACATTCATAGACATTCTCAAAACTCCCTTCTCTACTGATCCCGAGAGCTGGGCCTACAATCAGATGACTGTCACCGTTTTTAATTCTAGGTATCAACAATAACTTCTCAATCTGTAGCATAGTTCATTACCAAGCAATTTCCTTTCTGTAGTCCTTTTTACTCTGTAGGACATTTAGCAGAACCAGAGTGACTTTAGAGGTAATGAGATTAGTTTGTAACATGAAAAGACACTGCCAAAACCAGAGCTGGAATTTACATTCAAGTCCTTATTCATCCAAAGTACCAACTTAGGCCCCATATGCTATGGGACCCTTCGGCACAACATGGTTTGATGCAGAGACAAGTGAATGGAAAATGCAGGACCCACAATGGCGCAAATGCTTCTTTTGCCAAAGCAGTGATGGAGCACATGGGCTCTGCGTTAGCAAAACAACCCTGGAAGCTGGGAAGTCTCCAGCATCTGAGCATTACTTCTCTCATCATGCGCGATTTGCTTCCTCACTTGGCACCGAGTCATTCATCAGTAGGTTCAGTGTGGACTCCTGGCCCTTTAATAACAGTGTAAGTCGTTTGAGGGGATCACATTACTTCTCTGAAGTTCGCTTTCTCCATCTGCAAAACTGGTTTTCAGAATTTCTGATTTCAGAGGAGGAAGGGAGAGAGGGAGGGAAGGAGGGAGAGAGAGAGAGAAAGAGAGAGAGAGAGAGAGAGAGAGAGAGAGAGAGAGAACGACCATGCTATTTTTCACTGTCAACATATCATTTCATGAAAAGCAGAACAAAAGACATTCCTTCAAAATAAATGCACTTAGCTAACTTGATGAATGAAATTCGTCATGAGCAAACCTAAGCCAGAGCCTGGCCTTGGGGAGCTACAGTCCTGGGTGATCCCCGAGGTTTTTAATTTATGAAGTTATGAGCCTCTTTGAAGGCAACACAAGACGTTTTGTGAGAAGGATCTCTTGGTGGTAGCAGTTTACAGCGTTTCTGGTTTTCTGGGGGAATTTCATTAAGTTCATGGCTTGGCACTGGGAGCCGAGCATCACAGGAGAGGCCTGACCAAGAGAGCTGCAGATTAAAGACGGCTGGATTGCCAGCTGGTCCTGTGAGAGGACCATCCACACCCAGCAGCTGCCAAGGTTGTAAAATCCCCCAAACAACTGCCTACCCTACAGCACTGCAAGCCCAGCAAGGCCAGCTCAGTCTGTCACAGACAGCCCAGACAAGCCCCCTGCGTGTGCGAAGGCAGAGCTAGCAACAGCAAAACAATTCAACTTTATGCTTTATATTGATTTGGTTTTAGTCTCCATTTTTAAAAGTCATTCTGACCTAGTGAAGGAATATATAGGGTTCACACTGTGCTTCTTAATATGTCAGCAATATTCTTTAAACATGTTAAATTTTATTTCATTTCTAATTAAAATATAATTAAACTATTTCCCCTCCCTCTTCTCCCCCCACTTCCTCTCATGTCTCCCCCCACCCCGCTTTCTCTCACATTCCTGGCTTATTTTTAATTGTTATTGTTTTTATGTCTATCTCTATGTTAATAAATGTACAAGTATAACCCTTCTGAGTCCACATAGTATTACTCAGTGGATTTAGAGCTGACAACATGATATTAGATAACAAACAGGGAGCTAATAGCTAGGAGAGACTGAGTCTCCCTCTCTCGGCGGTCATTAATTGCTTATAACTCTGTACATAGAGGTAAGGCCCTGTGAGACTTCCCCCAGCCCCATTGAGATGTCAACTAGTGTTGGAGCTGCCCATGTCTTAGGCAGACATAATGTTGAGATTTCCTAGATGTAGTCTCCCTGTCATATATAAAAGACATGAACTTGCAGGAGACAGTCTGCTCCTCTGGCTCTTACAGACTTTCCACCCCTTCCTTCACAACACCTCCTGATAAGTCCTAACTGCATCCTCAATGCTTATTCATAGACCCACAGATGAGTGTGGCTTTCACTTCTTCTCAGGTCTGGTCAAATCTGATTATCTACCTGGGTTAGTCATGGGAGACTAAATCTTGGTGAGTAGACATTTAATCCTAGCACTTAGTATATGAAGGATAGTACGTATTTTTCAGTCAAGGAATATCAATCGACAAACACTGGAGATGTTCTTTTGTTTAGGCAGCTATGAGTAGCCATCCTGAGCCTCCTGAATGCTTCTGGAGCCGCAAACAATTCTATAGACACTGGTAAGCAATACATCTTCATATTTTACTTGCTCAATACATATTCCTTAAACAACTACCTCAGGAAGTGCAAAGTTTTAATACCATCACGGAGGGTTTGTGACAACATATACCAACCTCATCCATGTACGACTGAAAAACACAGCCCACAGAAAAGCAGACCCAACCCACCAAAGTTCTTACACTTTCCCGCTTCTCCCTCCCATGGTTTTTGTCCCAACTTGCTTCCCACTGGAAACGCAAACATTAGCCTATAGGGACAAGGCTGAGATTTCCTGTTACTCACTCCAGATTTCCATGGCAGTCACACACACAGAAATAATAGGAAGGCACAAGAGCTTTCCCATCACGACCCCACTTCTGGCAAGCCAAATATGTCTTCTACAGGGAATGTTCTCAGATATTGCCTTCCAGGAAAATGAAGAATTTCAGTTTCATCTTCAGTTAGGAATCGTTCTAACCTGAAATCTGAAGTTAATAGTTCTGCGTCTCAAACCCACTCACCAAAGGAATCTTAAAAACATCTAATGCAATATCTGGACTTCACTCAAGATCTACTAAAACGGAATATCTTGGTTTCACTTTCAAATTGCGTTTCCAAAAAGAGGCGGTTAGGAGCCGATATGGAGTGTTGCTAAATAGGGAGCAAAGAAAAGAGGGAGTTTTTGAGGGGGAGAGTAAAGGAAGGGTTCATTTAGATGATGAAATATTAATGCCACGTTCACATCATAATGGGAAGAAAGAAAGAGACATCTCTGTGATGCAGAAGAGGACACACATACTAAGGGTATCTTCCTGCCGCATTAGAGTGAGGACCCATCACGCCGGGGAGAAGGCTGCATGCACAGCATGGCAGATGTCGTCTAGATCAAAGGAAGGAAGGCAGAGCACGCGGGCTCGACGCTGTCGTAGGGTATGCTATGTGACGCTGCTTCCAGTGAAGTGAGAAGCAAGTTCTCGAAGAAAACTGTGGGGAAAGACAAGCAAAATGTAATGAAAATAAAACTATGGCAGAAATTCTGTCGATCGTGAGAAGTACTATCAATAACCTTAGGTTAATAAATTTCAAATGCAAATAAATTCTGGTATGATATAAAATATTACTGAAAACTGACCTGGAAAAAAATGAAATTCTTTTAAAGTGATCAAACAAACCATCAGAAACTTATTGTGATTAAAAAAATAAATGTAATTAAAAATATGCTGTAATTTACTGACGGCTGCTATCATTTTTCCAAAAGCTAGATGCATATTTCATAGGATACTTCGTAGAATATGAAAATTAGAAGAAACTCCAAGTCACTTTTGAAGATACAAACCTTGCTCCAAAATCTAAAGAGAAACTTTCAAGAAATGCAAATTTTAGGCATTCTTCATTATGAAAAAGACTTAAAAATCATAAAGAAAATGTTAGCAAATAAAATTCAATGAGACATTGAAATAGCATAATAGCTAAGTTTTGGTTAAGATGTACATACATATATAAAATTCATAAATATGCTTAAATATATGCTTGGGTTGATTTTTATTTCAAACTTTTAAAAATAACACTGATAAAAAAATATAAAGCAAAAATAATTTTGCATCAGGAATCAATATAATAATTTCCTCTAGGTACTAGGCAAAAATAAATTTCTAATCTTAATCTCTTCAACTTTTCACCAAAGGAATATGACAATGCAGTAAGACAGGAAAAATAATGTCAGTTGGGTTCACAAATGACACAGTTTTCTACACAGAAAATAAGAAAGAATGTTCAGATACACTCTCAGAACTATTAAGAACATCCAACAAGTGTCCTGAGCACTAATTACAACATGGATGATATTATTCCTGGTTTCTAGTCAAATCAATCAGAAGATATACTTTATAAATACGTCTGCAATCGTAATAAGTGATGTAACTACCTAGAAATAAACCAGAAGTTAGAGTTGGTACCCTAAGGAGAAAAGTCACTGAGATTTATTGGCGTTTCCTCCTAAGACTAGAGTGAATTAGAAAATTTCACACTTGTTGAGAAAAGTCTAAATACAAATTGCAACCTTCGCTTTAATCTATATTCATCCACAAACTCCATTACTATAAACATTGAAGCAGTAAGTTCCTAACTGAGCGAGGTGATTACAAAATTCACAAACAAGAATGAAGGGCCTACAATAACCGAAACAAAGGAAAGGCTGAGTAGAGTAGAATTTGCTGCTCTATCAAAATTGGACACGATCTTCATAAATCTACGTAGGGTAAATTTTTCTTAGTTATCACACAATAATAATAAGATTAAAACATCCTTGGTTGGAGTGCAGCTCAGTAGAGATGATCTCCTAGCACTGCAAGACCTGGGTTCAACACACAGCACCATAAAAATTCACTAATTTTTATACACTATAAATGAATAACCATATTAATTATATTAAGGATATTTCACTGTTTTTAAGTTTAAAAAAAGTCTGACAAAATATATCAATAAATCAGATTTTTAACTGTGGGCTAGAAAACTGTCGTCATTCTCAGTGTCAGTAAGCGTTATCACCCAGCTTACAATGGCTCTTATGGATGGGTCAGTGAAAGAGAATTGAAAAGGCAAACTGGAAATGCTACAAGTTTTTGCTTCATGGGCAAAACTGACATGTTTGTGAGGAGACACTAAAATATTATTTTCCAGATTTCAGACTGATAAAGTTTAAATCACAAACATTTAAATTTAAAAGGAGATGCTGATTCGCAATTAATGTGAGCCAGCCTTGATAGATCTAGTAACATCAGAGCTGGGAGAGGGTCCAAGGGGGAGAAGTACCAGTCCTGAGAAGTAGGCTCGTTAGATGGTCCCAATGCCTTGGAAAGTGACTTGGCAGTACAAGGTCAAGATGAAGAATTGTTTGTTCTTACAAACGAATAGGTATCTGTGTAGGTACATCTAGGTGTATAGGTTATGTGAAAATAAAACCAACAATAACAACAAACTATGTTCCATATGTCTAAAGAGACTTGTCCAGAACCTTTGGGGATTGTCAGAAATCAGAAATCCAAATCTTTCTCGCCGGTGGTGAAAGAAGGTTAAACGGAAGAGCCTTCTCACACAGGCACATGACTAACAGCCTTGACTCTGCCTCAGAATTCAGATGCTGACGTCCTAACCCCAGATGCTTTAGAATATGTGTCTACCTTGGACAGAGCATCTTCTCCAACCCTCCTACCCCACCCTGGGTGATGTAGGTTGAAGCCAAGGTCTTGTGCATGAGCACTCCACTACTGAGACATCTGGGGAGGGTGTTTCCAGAGAAGTAATCAAGTCACAGCAAGGCCATCAGAGGGGGTCTGATCCAATGAGATGGGTTTTCTTACAGGAAGAGGAAATTTGAAGAGATGCCAAGAATGTGCACACAGAGAACAAGGGAGGGAGGCAAGCAATTCATCTTTTTTGCTGTTGTTGTTTGTCTTACGCATACACTGGGAAGGAATTTTATCATATCATGTTTGTTTTCCAGATAGGACATTGAATGGGCAGTTTCCTTTAACATATGTTGTTTGTCTTTCAAAATTGTCTAGGTCTCCTGAAAGTCATGCTGATGAATCAGTTCCACAGAGAAAGACTAGAGTCAGTAATCAGGAAGAGATGCTCCGTGTGTGTGTGTGTGTGTGTGTGTGCGCGCGCGCGCGCGTGCATGCATGTGAGCGAGAGAGACAGAGAGACAGAGAGACAGAGAGAGAGAGAGAGAGAGAGAGAGAGAGAGAGAGAGATGGCTGGTCTCACTTCAACCTGCTGACTGGCAGGGAACTACCTTTGTAGTCCAGGCTACTCTACTCAGTAATATCCTGCCTCCATTTTGTAGATATTCTTTAAAAAGCAGAAATGAGGCAGGAAAGCTGCTGGACATGGCTGGCACTAGAGTATTCTCTACAGGCACCTCTGTCCTTTCCAAGAGAAGGTTTGCACCATCTTTCCCACTAAGACTATACAGATATAGAGAGATGCTATCTCTCCATCTGGACAAAAACAAAACAAAACAAAAAGACAAACAAGCAACAACAACAACGAAACATTAACTGAAGCAGGTTGCAGTACATGCAGTTAAGATTCAAACAAGAATCAGTGCCTAATTAGAAAGGAAAGCATTTATATAGGATTTATCAGCCAGAAGGCTCTACAGAAGCGTGTGCATAAGCACACACACTTGCATGCACAAGCATGTATGCGCACATGCGCGCACGCGCACACACACACACACACACACACACACACACACATGAAATCAGAAGTCTTAAAAAACCAAGAGTGATCATGAATTTGCTATGTAGACAGGTCTATGCCCATTTCTGGAACCCTAGTCAAAAATCTCATAAGCAGTTTGCTCTTCTTAAAGGCAGGCATTAAACACCTCAGTGTTGGGAGACACCTCTCCCTGAGTCTCTTTCACCATCTGAGCTGAGAATGAACATCTTTTGTTTTGGTCTATTTCCGAGAGTGTTAATGAAACAAACAACCTCAGAAGATACAGTCTCCTTCCACAGCACAGAACATAAGAACTTCACTCTCCAGAATACACAAAAACGTTCCAGACTCCCCAGCTGTGAAGAGAATCTCCATTCCAGACTGGACAGACACTAGTCATCATCCTTGGGCTTCCAAAGGCCCTAGAAGGTGTCCTGCTGTTCACTATGCAGTAAGCAAGAAAGTTTTCTGTCTCTGGTCTAAGAGTCTTGTGACTTCTGTCAAACTCCAGGAAATGGTGTCAGAGCTCCGTATTTACTACCTTGCAAGCAGAGCAACATCTTAGCTTCTTCACATGTCTTAGAAAGTGCTGGCTAATGAATGAAGATATCCAGTACAGATTCAGCAAATGTGTGTTGACTACTTACAAGGCATCATGCTGAGTCACCATTTAAGACTGATTCTCTCCTTTAACCCTTATGGTGGCCCTGTGAAATACCAAGACATAGTTACATTAATTGGTCTTCCTGCAGCAGCTCTTCATTACAAGTTGCACTTGCAACCCCTATATGATAACAAGGAAGTGGGGAATCTCCCGGTGCCCCACCACAGGCAATGAACTACAAGCAACTGCAGAATGTTGAGAGTGAAAATAGTCTTCCCCAGGATTGAGACCCCCACACACACTGCTTATTCAATACTGAGGGGTCAGTCTGAATAGGCTCAAAAGATTGCATTTATAAAGTTAGGTCCATGCACAATGTGTGCGTGGATGTGTGTGTGCAAAACAATAATAAAGAAAAATAGGCTGGTGTGGGAGAATTATCTGTATTCTGTCAATCATATTTTAATAAAA